TCCTCCCTCTTACCTCCTCCTCCTTCCTCCCCTCCTCCTTCCTCCTTTCCTCCCCTCCTCCTTCCTCCTTTCCTCCCTCCTCCCCTGCTGCCCTCCTCCCCTTCTCCCCTCCTTCCCTCCTCCCCTTCTCCCCTCCTTCCCTCCTCCCGTCCTTCCCTCGTTCCCTCCTCCCCTCGCTCTCATCCCTTCTTTCCCAATCCTTTGCTCTTCCTCTTCGTTTCTCACCCCCTCCGTCCCACCCTCCCTTCCTCCCTCACTCCCTTCACCTCTCGCCCCCCTCTCTGTTTAGAATACCATATCGTGCAGTCTAATCAGTAGTCACAAATTGGGAAACATGGGTGCTTTTTCACGACTGCTTTTAGTTTTCGGCACCTTGCAGGCGGCAATCCACTGCCCCGGTGTTAAAAGTGAAAAAAAAAAACACTTGTAATTTCATACCCTCACAACCCTAAGGCTGATAGCGAGGAGCTGATAGACTGTTGAGGGTACAAAGGTGTTTTCCAGTCTGTTGGAGAACTGTGGACAGCGTGGAGTGAAGACAAGGACACTCTTACCTCCAAGAACCCATAGTAATACTGGCCACCCACAGCGCTGAGAATGCCCACTTCCTTTTCTAGTTTGGAGAACAAGGCTGGGTGGTGTGTAGGAACCTGTCTCAAGCTTTTCGTCTGCAAACTTTCTGGTTGGAAAGCTGGCTTTCTGCGTGCACCCAAATTAAAAGACAAAAAAATGCAAAAGGAGTCACAGCAATGGCCAATCAGCTGGTCAAACAAATGGTCAAACAAATAGTCAAACAAGTGGCCTGTGAGACAAATGGTCAGTGTTCACACTACAGACATATGTTTACACAGCTTTTACAAAACCTTTGAGATGTACAGGGACGCTGGACCCGATTTCCAGCATGTGCTGCTCCCACCAATAGATGGATGGAGCCTTCAATACCGGGACCTGCTTAAAGGGGATGCTCGTATCACCCCGTTAAGCAGGCCCCCGGTGCAAGAAGTTTACCCCAACCAAAAAAAAAGAAAAAAAAGAGTCAGACAATTGGTCAATCCGACAACTAGTCAAACAAAGGCTAGTCAGACAACTGGTCAAACAACTGGTCAAACAAATGATCAAACAAATGGTCAAACAAATGGTCAACAAGTACCCAAAAGACACCCTTTCTTTCCATTGTTCTTTTCCTTTTCAGTTAGTTAACCACCCGCACCCCTAGCAATCGTTCGGGTTGTTCAAAAAATGGAAAAAAAAATGAAAAAACAACAACACCACCACCATCAAAGAGCCACAGTTACAACAGTGACCAACACAAACCAACACACACAACGACCAAAAAGTTGCAAAATGTCAAAACCACAATTCCAAGGTAGCTACCGTTCCAACAGAAACAACCACGACCGACACAATTTTGCAAGAGAAAAGAAACTAAGTTACTAAGCCCAGTTTCCAGCAGGTGCTGCTCCCCACCAATAGAATGGAGCCGTCCTGAGAGGGACTGCAACATGGGACTACTCGTACCACCCCAGGTTGCAGCACCAAACGGACGTTAATTTAAAAAAAAAAAAAAAAAAAAAAAGAGTTAAATAGATTGCTTGAGAGCGAGCCCTGAGATGTTATATGCACCACCAGAACCATTCCTAAGAGTCCAAGCCATTACTCTCTGACTTAGAGAATCATGTCGTTCAGCCACTACGTAATCGAGTTCGTTATCCTCATTCATTTTGGCTTTTATCTCCTGAGCAGGCCTCGGAGGTGCGTCCCGACAGAAATAAAGTTTAATAAACCGCAACAACACGATTCCAAGAGAAAAGGGACTGAAAAACTGAGTTGAAACTTGAAAGGAGCACCTCTAGCAAACCCGGGTTTTGAAAAAAAAAAAAAAAAAAAAAAAAAAAAAAAAAAAAAAAAAAAAAAAAAAAAAAAAGGATTGCTTAACTTCACATTTAGATAGAAAAAACTCGGAAACGGTGAAAGTGGGCGTTGAAGTGAGCAGCAACTGTTTGTTTTTTTTTGTTCTCCACAGTCTTTAGGCCTTGATGTTGCTCACCGACTTCTGTGTCTCCTCCTCGGGGTGACTGGCATCCGCCATATCCTGATCCCGACCATGATCCTGACCCTGATACCAACCCTGGGCATCTTTGATCAACCTTCGTGTTTGGCCGGCAACCCCACGGGATCTGACGACAAGACTGCTTCGTTTGTCTTTCTCTGCTCCAGCATCTCCTCGTCGGCTCCGCAAAGCTCCCCCATTTGACCGCGGTCCCTCTTGTGCTGCATCCATTTGCCCGCGTGTAACCCTGAGGCATGTGACAGAAACAAACCGGTGAGGAAATGATGGTCGGTCCACGCCATTCATATAGGAAGATAGCACATTATGTGAGGCTTTACTCTCGCGGAGGACACAACGTGTGAAACATAATAAACCAGATACCCTCATGGATACTCCAGCATCGCCCTCCCACCTTGTCCATTTCAGGGCCATAACCGTGCACGACACATACAACTACACACAGCCCTCACAGGGTACACAGATGGTGGGAGAACAAGGGAACTTCATGAAGAGGTAGTCAAAGCCCCCCCAATGAATGAAAATGGCCCCAAACATCTTCCCTCCTTTTCTGTATAACATCATCCACAAAACATACAACTGCAGACAGAATATGTCTTTCTCTCGTGCCCAAAGACGTGACCTCTGTGGAGATCGTGGGACAGAATATGCAAATTGCTCGATGGGGAAACACCCCCCGTCACGATCAGATTGCAAAATTGTACTTGTTGACTTCTCTATGCCAAAGTCTTGGCAGACTACTTAAAGCACCAGTACATGGCCACCTGGGCCACGGGCCTGACATCTCAAATTCTGGAGGTGCAAAATGAAAACGCCACGACCAATCTAATTTATCAACGGCGGGCCCAGCGTTTGACGTTTCAGCCTCGTTTTCTTGTGGCAACGAGTTTCGGACTGCTAGGCTGAGACCATGTACTTGTGGTTTAATGGCAATCGCAGAAGACACTGAGACATCGCGGCACGCACTCAAATCGTGCCTAACGGACTACGCGGCCCTATTGGAAGCTGCAGTTAATTGGATAAAGTCCATTGAGTTCCTCCCAGATGGTTACACCGTATTTATTTATTTATTTATTTATTTATATATATATATATATATTTATTTATTTATTTATTTATTTATTTATTTATTTATTTATTTATTTATTTATTTATTTTTAAACAAGGACCCAGTGCCCAAGGCTCATATTAAAAATTTGAATACACCGCAGACACACGCCTCTTCCCATTAGGGCTGGAAGAGCCTCGGCCACTGCTCCCACAGAGACAGCTTCCCTGTACAAGAAGAATGAAGATTTGAGCGCTGAGCATTGATTGCTTCCCCAGGAGGGAAGGATTAACTCAGCCCCATGGACAATCGACTTCTGCCCTACTATACTGAACCACCAATGATCAGTCCCTACAAAGCAAGATTTCGGGGGGGATATAGCAGGGCAAAGCAATTGAGCACATCCCAGGTCCCAAACTCAAACCCTAATTGACTATGACCCACAGTGAATGAACTCTCTTTTTTCTAGGCTGTACTCCGGGCCGCCAGGCCGGTCGTTCCGCCCGGTTGGCCACCGGGCGGGCCCAGCACATCGTGG